ACATAAAGACCTAATACTCTTGGGATGCCTGGGTGGCTCAGCCAGTTAAGCATCTGCCTCCAGCTCAGGTCATGATCCCAGGGACTTGGGATGGAGTCCCACATCAGGCTCCCTGCTCAGCGGGGAGCCTGCTTCCCCCTCTGCCTGCCGCTCCCCCTGCCTGTTCTCTCTCTCTCTCTCTGACAAATGAATAAATAAAATCTTAAAAAAAAAAGAAAAAGGCCTAGTAGTCTTTTAGCTGAATATGTAAGAAACCAAAGATTATCATCAGTCTTATGAGAACAGTGAAGGATGTTACAAATAAAGATATCACATCAGTAAAAACAGCAAAGAACTTTAAGATGCTTTTGCAATATAGACAGAAAGGGTCAGTTTAGCGAATACTGCAAATGCTCTAATCACATTGTCAACATTAGAGTCTGATTGCTTTATTTTCAAAAACCCCATTTCCCTAATCATTTATTTCCATGACATTTAAGGTTATATAAGGGATTATAATGTTACGATGTTTCCAGTCTACCCAGAACACTAATTGGTCTTAGTCTCTCTTCTACATAGAGTATTTAAATCAGTAGCTATTCTGCCTGCTGAAATTCCCCTTATTATTTGATATAAAAGCTGATATTACACTGTGGTTGTATATTTCCTTTGCCTTTATTTGTAAGACCACTTCTCAACAAATGGCAGCCATTTCTTCTCAATAAAACCTGACAACATAAGACAGTGAAAGCCTTTTTCTTGAAGTGTGTCTTCTTAGGAGAGAGAAGCAGGGATGCCAGGTTAGAAAGGGCCCAGGTCTTATATGGGAGGAATTTTCTCCCTGTTCATACCTTCACTAATACCTGGGTAATGGAAAGGGATGAGCTTGCATAAGGATGAAGTTGAGAGTCTTTCTTTTTCTTTTTCTTTCTTTCTTTCTTTCTTTCTTTCTTTCTTTCTTTCTTTCTTTCTTTCTTTCTTTCTTTCTCTTTCTCTCTCTCTTTCTTTCTTTCTTTCTCTCAAGATTTTTAATTATTATTTATTTATTTATTTGAGAGAGAGAGAGAGAAAGAAAGAGAGCAGGAAGGAGAGGGAGAGAGAATCTGAAGCAGACTCCACACTGAGCACAGAGCCCAAAGCAAGTCTTAATCCCACAATAGCAAGATCATGACCTAAGCTGAAACCAAGAGTCCGATGCTTGACTGACTGAGCCACATAGGTGCCCCCAGTTGAGAGTGTTTCTAAAAGGCAACTGGAAGGAATTATGCTGGTAGCCTCCTGGCACTGCCTCCCTAACGCTGAGATGTCAGTGGGGAATGTGTGAGGCTATGGTGACCACCAATCCCAACACAACCAGACAAAGTAGTCTTGTTCTTTATCTGTATATAGTTCTAGATACAGGCCCGTTTAAGGTATAAATTGAATCAGAAGATGGAGGAAGATACTCCAAACAGATAAGGTTATTAAGTTTCATTGGGATCTCCTGCGGCCAGGACTCAGGACAGGCGAGACAGGGAAGAAAATCAAAGCGTAAGGCAACAGTATCCTATCAGGGCAGTTACTGGATCCAGGATGAGAAGATGTTGGAAGATAAAATATTAGGAACATACAAAAAGCCATTGTCAAATCAACATCAAAATGCATACTTTGGATTTTAAAAGCATTTTGCTTGTTTGCTTTATTTTCATGACTGTTCTGTTTCTGACTCAGCGTTTGTGTAGATTTCTGTTGAGATTTCACAGCCAAACAGCACGACTTCTGTGGAAGCAGCACAGAATACAGAATCGGGGTCACTGCCCGGCACTCACTGTCTCTGTGGTCTTGCGAAAGGTGCTGTAACCTTTCCTCTTACTTACAAAATAGGCTTTTTCACAATGCATAGCTTATCTGGTTGTTATAAAGATTACACAATGTAGATGGTGAACACTTTATGAGATATAAAATAAATAACCACCAGTGTTACAGTAATAATGTAACAGCTAGTGTTAGGCAGATTTACATGGCTTTAAAATTAGGGTGAAATGTGAGGTTCCTGCAGCCGCTTTACCTATTCTAGTTCGTTAGTCTTTTTGCAAAAATAACCCTTACTCTTTAGGATCTCTGGGTTTGGGTTTGGTTCTGCTTGAGCCCTTTTAAGCTCCTGCTGACTAAAGGCTGCTGGTCAGCATCACAGACCTGCAAATTTATACAGAAGTCAGTATCCGGGCCTGGGCAGAGAGCCAGCATAAAAAAGATGAGTCCTAAAGATGAAGTTTTGGAATCTAGGTGAGGTTCGATGGGGTGAGGTCTGGAGCTGACGACCAAGAAAGAGTTCTTGAGACGTCTTTGGTGCAAAATGGTGGTTTTATTAAAGCATGGGGACAGAACCCCTGGGCAGAAAGAGCTGCTCTGAGTTTGTGAGGTGTGGCTGATTGTATACTTGGGAGCTGGGGAGGTGAAGACCAAGGGTGTCCAGAGGGACTGTCATATGCTAAAGAAGACCCTCAGGATAATGGAGACCTGGTTATTGTCAAGCCAAGCTGTTTTTCTCTCTAAGAGGCACTAACATGAAGACAGTGGGGAGTTTCCTGGAGGAGTGTTACATTTCTCCTATCACACGTCCTTGTCAATGGGCTGCAGGTTTAAAAGAAATTCAGTTTTATTTACATTTCCTTCTGCCTGAGCCTCCTTCAATTTCATGGAGGGGAGGGTGATGTTAGGGCTCCAGGAAACTGAGTTATGGGTCTTTGGAAGTTAGGCTATTGATAAAGCTTTTTCCTTGTAAACCACTAGGACATTTGCAAACTGAGGGAGACTCCTGTCCTGCAGGACTGTGATCTCTATCAGTTAACCATTTGTTTTCCCTTTAGGGCAGCGAGGAGTGCCTGAGGAATGGCATACAAATCACATTGAGGGGGCGGGGTGTAGGGTGCTAGCTTCTGCTTTGTCCTCAGCTTGCCTTCTGCTCCCTCATCACTAAGATCTGAGATGCTGTCTGGGAGTGGACAGCAAACACTGGACCCAAAGGCCAAGCAGTGGGCAGTTCTCTGGGTATGTCAAAACCTATTTGCTGTGTAGCCAAAGGTGGAGACATGCTTCCACATCTAGTTAGTCAAGATTAAAGACAACAATAAAACAAAAGACAAAAACAAAAGGCCCTGACCACATTTTCCCCCTTTCACTTGATGGACTAATGTTTGCTTTTCAGCATCTTACTGCTATCAAAGTCATGTAGTCTTTTCTTAAACATGGATGATTTATTTTTTTCATTATTAGCATGGGATTAATTTTTTGCTCTGCTTTATGGTAAGTTATCAGTCTTTTCCCAAAGCGAGAGTTTTCCCATGACTAGTATTCACAATCCCGTTTTATTGTTTTTATTCAATGATAAAATCAAAGCTTACTTGGTCTTTCAACAAGCAACTCTGTTTTATATACACCTACATTATCTTTCAGTTATATATCTATTTACTTTTCTGTCTTTATGCAAAAGAGTAAATAAAGAGGCATGCTTTCCTGAGTCACTGAGCATTATTTTTCTTCTTTTTCTCTAATTGAGGTATAATTGACAAAAATGTATTGTTCCTCTTAAATCCCAGAAAATAAGTTGTCAACTGTGTTCCCATGTCCACCCTCTCATTTTATCTTCAGATATTCTTTTCACCTGGTCTCAGCAGACATGCTCAGAAGAGGTTGAGGGAAGACCAAGGAGTAGATGGAAGCCATTGCTCTATGCCTTTTGAAATTTTTGCGGATTTTCTAGTCCATATGGAGTAGTTTATAAAGTAAAACTCTTTTTTTTTTTTAAAAAGATTTTATTTATTTATTTGAGAGAGAGAGAATGAGAGAGAGCACATGAGAGGGGGGAGGGTCAGAGGGAGAAGCAGACTCCCTGCCGAGCAGGGAACCCGATGCGAGACTCGATCCTGGGACTCCAGGATCATGACCTGAGCCGAAGGCAGTCGCTCAACCAACTGAGCCACCCAGGCGCCCTATAAAGTAAAACTCTTAAAACAAAAATAAAACTCTGTTTCACCAGCACCAGAAAGAATGTTTAAGAAGCTGGTGCCATATTCCACTATTACTGAGTTTTCAATTACTTTAAAATGCATCTTTGCTTCTGGTACTAATTTAGTCATAGCTCTCCAGTTGGGTCTTGTTCTCATCTGATGGGGTATATTTTCTAAAGGCGCTCATTACTAAATTGGAAGGTACAGGACAAAAGTTAGTGTAAACGTTTTTCAATTCCACCTTAGAATCTTGTCATCATTTTATCAAAGTCTGCTCCCTTGTTATTATGTAACGAATATGTTTTTATGGGAACTGACAGTTTTCACTGAATTGTCAACATGATTTAATCCTAATAGGATTTACTTAAACATTTCCCAAAGAGAAAATGTATTCTCCATAATTTCCAAAGAAGAAAAGAGGTGGAAATAGAGCAAAAGTGAAAGCATAGTTTAGTTGTAAATCCTTATTGACTCATTCAGCATACTTGTTCATTAGCAGTTCCTCAAATTACAGTAGCAACAATACTGATATATGCAAAGTACACATGTGGCAATTACCCAGTTTATTTGATCTTGCAGGTTTGGCCAGGCTAAATGATACTGGGCTTTCTGAATGTGTTTGGTTTGTGGCTTTTCTAGACAGGTAGTCCAAAACAATTAAACTAGCAAATAAGTGGCCCAAAGCTAAAATTTTAATTATTTAAAACTAAAAAAATTTTGCCACAAAGGAGATCTAGATATGTATATAGATATATATCTATATCTCCAAAATTTCCAAGTCCAAGATTCAGGTTTATTTTGCTATCATTTGAATCAGTTCCCTAAAAACAGGTTAATGAAAAGAGACAGGGCTCATTATATATCTTATAGAGGCTCATCTGATGTAGAAGATTTTATTTCTGTAATAACCAATAATATTACTTTTTTTCCAAGTGTGTATTTGGTAAGTTATGGAAAGCATAACACAAGTATTATCTCCTATAATCCTCTTAAAAGCAAGACAAGCACAGATGAGGGAAGCAAACTACTCACCAGCTGTGGGACTCCTGGGTAAATCATTTCACCTCTCCGTGACTTCATATCCTTGTCCATAAAATTGAAATGATGATAATATATAGTACATAACTCATAGGGCTGCTGTAAGAATAAAATGCCATAATTAATATGAAATACTTAAGAGACCTAACACCTAGTAAGCCCTTTATAAATGCTCCTATTGAAATGATATGATTGCTCTTATTACCATATTTTGTGGACGAATACAATAAGCCCTAGTTTAAAGAAGGTTTTCATTAGCACACAGGTAATGGATTGTGGAGCTGGGATCTGAACACGGGTGTATCTGATTTTAAAGCCACAGTTATTTATTGCTCTAGTCTCCCTCTATGCTACTGAACTGTTTGCTACTGAAAGTTCAAATACAGTTTTTCAGAAAGCGTCTTTCTTAGAATTACCATTTGTTCGAATGTGAAATAAAAAATGTTTATTGAAAATATTGTTCTAGTCAATCAATACATCTTACTGTCTCACTCAGAATCAAAGGCTTATGCTAATTTGGGGGACATACTGTTTTAATACTTCACCACTTATGTAATAAATAATTGAAGAATATATATTTTTAAATCATTGAAGAAAGCTTATGTGTTAAAATTTATAAATATTTGAAAATCAGTTTTTAACTACTCTTTATTCATAGTGTAGGTGAGTGTGATTTTCAGTATTATATACCTCATTTTTTTTCCTTCAGATGTACAGAAATCAGAAAAAAAAGTGTCTTTTTTAAAAATAAAGGTTCGGCCTCAGGGAATCACTAAGTTTTGCCTTATCTCATTCTATTACTTAAATCCTGCATATGTGCTTCACTTCTCTGCATGTTAATGGTGACCTTGAAAGCTGAGAAATTCTTTGAAATACTTTCTGAATATCCAGTCTCTCCTGCACACGGCTCCCATCCCGTCCCCAAATGCCTGAAACATACTCTGGGACCACTGCTTTTATCAAACTCTCACCTCGACTGCCTCTAATCTTTGTCTCAAAAACACAGTTTTTTGGTGACTGCCTATTTTTATTTTATTTAAATTTAGACACTATAAATTTTTATAAAGTCCCATAAAAATAGGCATTAGCTTCCTTAGATATCTTTCAACATCCCACAGGAATGAAATAAAAAGCAAATAGAATTTTAAAAGCATAGTGTTTTTAACAAAAAGAAAAAAAAATTAGGGCAAACTGATGTGTTCAGGGCCACTGTCAGAAATTCAAATGCCATTTTAAAGTTAGAAGTTAAAGAGCCTGAAGTTAAAAAAATCATGTGGAAGAATGTTAAAAAATAGGCATTTAATGAACTTTCTAGTCTAAGAAAGAATATTTTGAGTAGGATTATATATGATAAAAAGAAAGTTTTGAAGTATAATACCAGACTAGAAAAATAAAATGAGCTACTTGGCTATCTCTCACTCTGTAGTTCTTTCTCTTTTTCTCTGAAAGTCTCTCTGTCTTTCTTTCTGTCCAGCAAGTCAAACAATTCCTATAGCAATCAGCCCCAAATGGCAGGACTTGATTAATAATCCACTGCTTCCCTAATTCTTGTCTTTGCTTCCAATGTAGGACCAACCAGAGAAAGCCAGATATGCAGCCCTCACCCATCACATAGTGGCCCAGGTTCTAGTTTTCCTACCTACAGCTTCCCCATGACAACAGCCTCCAAACAGGTAACCTGCAGGCTTCTCTTTTCTCTATTCAAGCCTTCCCACTCTTCAGCTTCCCTTTGAGTCTACCAAATGCAAGTGGCGGTGGCTGGCTATGGCAAGACTTTCCTTTTTCTTATTTGGACTCTCTGCACGTATTTCCTTCACTTTGCGACCTCCCTCTCCCTGAGGCAGTACAGGTGAGCTGGGATATGTGCCCATATATATCTCACCACAATCAAGATAATGTATACATTCATCATCCCTGAAAGTTTCATCATTCCCTTTTATCAACTCCCGCCTGAATAGTCCTGCCTACCCAAACCCTTGACAACAGATACCTTCCTTTTGTCTTTATATATTTGTGTGCATTTTGTAGAAATTTATATAAATAGGGGCGCCTGGGTGGCTCAGTCATTAAGCATCTGCCTTCGGCTCAGGTCATGATCCCGGGGTCCTGGGATTGAGTCCCACATCTGGCTCCCTGCTCAGCAGGGTGTCTCCTTCTCCCTCTACCCCTCCCCTCTATTTGTGCTCTTGCTCTCTCTCATGCTCTCTCAAATAAATAAAAAATAAAATCTTTTTAAAAATAAAATCATAGGAGCGCCTGGGTGGCTCAGTTGGTTAAGCAACTGCCTTCAGCTCAGTTTTCATGTGCTTATTTACAATCAGCATATCTTCTTTGTTGAAGTGATTCCACTTAATTTCATGTGAAGCCTTATTAACTATACCTCATTAAAAGATAATCAACTTTTTTTTTTTTAAGATTTTATTTATTTAGGGGCCCCTGGGTGGTTCAGTCGTTAAGCGTCTGCCTTCAGCTGAGGTCATGATCCCAGGATCCTGGGATCGAGCCCCGCATCGGGCTCCCTGCTCGGCGGGAAGCCTGCTTCTCCCTCTCCCACTCCCCCTGCTTGTGTTCCCTCCCTCGCTGTGTCTCTCTCTGTCAAATAAATAAATAAAATCTTTAAAAAAATTATTTATTTATTTGAGAGAGAGAGAGAGAGAAAGCACAGAGGGAGAGTGTGAAGGAGAAGCAGGCTTCCCGCTGAGCAGAGAGCCAGATGCAGGACTCAATCCCAGGATGCTGGGATCATGACCTGAGCCCAAGGCAGATGCTTAACCAACTGAACCATCCAGGTGCCCTGACAATCAACTCTTTAAAGAAGAACAACACATTTTGGGACTTCTAGGATATGGAAATAAAAGGTATGACAATAACACCAAGACTGGGAGGGAAAAAAATATGGTGAGTAGACAAAAAACAAGTACAGGCAGAACTAAAAGTTCCTATTCTTCAGTCTCATACCCAAAGGGCAAGGTGATGTTGTCGAAATATTACTTTCATGCAATAATGGTAGATGTGGCCAAAGGGAAAGTCAGAACAAATTTAGAACAAATCTGGGTCATCATCTTTGAGTGGTTCCTGTATCACCCACTCCCTAACTTGAAGAAAGTCCAGGTCTTTTACCCCACACATAGGGATAACATTACCTAAGCTAGCTGATTTATCTGAGGAAAAATTGCTCTCAGGAAAATATGGGATTTTGAGTCAAACACTGGTCTAAATAAAATACAATAAACTGAAAAACTGTACTACATGAAGCAATATTAATAAACAAGCCAAAGTAAGATTTACAACACTCTCAAAGGTATGAGATAAATTTCAATAATATAGAGCAGGGACAAACAGAAACAACTGTTTTGCTAACAATTGTTTACAGAAGGACTAATTGGAAATATTAAACATAAAAACAGTTTAAATAAAGAACTTGGGAATGAGATTTATAACAACTGACACAGGTAAACTACAAATTAATGAGTTCAAATACTAGGTCATATAATTACTTCAAAAGGCATCAAGAAGAAATAAAGAAAAAGTTCATAATTCAAGTGATTTGGAGAATATAAATAGAATTACAAATATCTGTATATTATGAATGCCAGAAAGGGAAAACAAAGAAAGATAGGGAATGTTTAAAGAAAAAAGTCCTGGGCACCTCGGTGGCTCAGCTGGTCTGCCTTCACCTCAGGTCATGATCCCCGGGTCCCGGGATCAAGTCCCGCATCAGGCTCCCTGCTCAGCGGAGAGCCTGCTTCTCATTCTTCCTCTACTGCTCCCCCTGCTTGTGCTCTCTCACTCTCTCTGTCAAAAAAATAAATAAAATCTCAAAAAAAAAAAAAAAGATAAAAGTCCTTCAAGCAGAAGGAAATCCACATCAGAAAGTAACATGAGTCCTCCTGATACAAGTAAGAGAAATGGAAATGGAAACAATGTAGGTAAATAAGTATTTTAGTTCCTGCTACGAATTAAAAAAAAAAAAAAACGTTAACTGGAAAATACTCAATTTATTGCAAGTCAAAAAATCTTAGATTGAACAGAGTTGTTGTATACCAACCAAAATTTGACAAAAGAAAAAAAAAAGTATACTGCTTTTCTACCTTGCCTGGTGATGACAGCTAGGCCAAATGTCATTCTGCAGTGAGTGAATTAACTACTTGCAACTTTATTTCTACCTAATGCAACTGAAATCTTCCTTTAGGTCTTTCTTCCTGCCATGAAGGTAGATATTATGATTGAAGCTCCAGATCATCTTCCTATACAGTGAGGGGAGGTTGTGGCATGGCTCAGCCTCAGCAAAAGAGCAAGAGTTGACCTCAAGACTTTGTGTGGGTAATTACAACACTGGTCCTCAGCAGGAAAGATGCATGCATTTTTGTTGTTGTTGTTGTTATTGTGAATTCATTATCTTTATATCAAAACACTTTTATTTTGTCTGTGCCCTGCTATTTCAGACATTCGTCGACAGCTTTATGCACTTTTCTGGTTTTTCCCTAATTTTTCCTTCCCCTCCTCTTCTTTAAACCCTTTCCCTTCTTTAATCCCTTTCCCACTTATCTCTGTTATCTCACCATAGGCCTCCATAATTTTCTTTAGCCCTAGACCTCCTTTACCTCCTTTGCCTCCTTCCAGTTCTACTCCCCTATAAAGGGTCATCATGGACTCAGGGGAAACCCACCAACAGGGGTAAGCTCTCGCTAGGGAAAGGGATGATGCACTGGGGAAAGGTACTGCAATTCAGGACCATCCCAAAGATCAGAAGAGCTTCTGGAATGGTGGCTTTGCAAGTGCTCCCTCAAAAGAGTTAAAGATAAAAAGAAAGTACTGAAATCTCAGCAGATAAACTACATTAGAGGTGACAGGCAGGAGAGGATCCTTGACAGCAGGGCGGGCATCTATGGAAGCAGTAGAACTAACTTAGCAGCTAATAATTTATATTAGAATGTTAATGAATGTATAACAATTTTATGCTTAAAAATTTATATTTTTCTTGATGGATTATATATTTTATTTAAAATACAAAAATGTAGTTTCTACCCTTCTAAAATTAATTTTGAAGAATTTATTTTTAACACCATATTAGAATGAATGTCAGAACTGTCTTAAGA